GCTTGCCACGGAACATGTTAAAGCGGAGAATCTTCTCGTACGTAAGTACAAGTAATAAATTACCGCGCGTATATCACAGCAACAAATTCGTCGATCTGACCGGCGGCTGCTGGAACAGAATCAGATGCTCCGTGTTCTTCACCATAAACGAAAAAGGTACGGTGGAGGCGTATGATATATTGGCAGGCGTGAGGACACCGTTGACCGAGATTCGCCTGTGTCACGACAGTCTGACGGCGATCAGCTCTCACGACGAGGGCGAGTTCCTCGCTGTCGGGAGCAGCAACGGCAACGTCTACCTGTTGGAATGCATGCAGGACCTCGCGACATTTACGAAAGAGGACAGAGCCGTTTTGAGCAACGTAAGAAACGTCAAACGAAAAACAAGTCTTCTTGCAATTTCCTTTCTCCTTGTAATCTGACGTTGATCGTCGGATAGTTTAATTAACACTTTCGCTACGCCACTGAACGACATGACTGAAAGTATACACATTGATCGAATCATCTTCCGAATCCTTTTCTTAATCCCTTTTGAAATAGAATCTTTTCCGAATTTTTTTCTGGTAACATTTTGACCAAGGGCCTAAAATGTTTTTTTCTTTTTCGAACAAAAATTTAATTTGCAGAAGTGTAACCTTGAACTTTAAAAAGATTAGAACAGCCGATCTTTTCCGTATTAGATAGCAATAGATTGAGAAAGATTCTTTATTACAATAATTCTTTTATCGTACATATACCACTGTCTTTTTTTAATTTACTGGTAACATTTTGGCAAAAGCCTAAAATGTTTCTTTTTTTTTCAAACGAATCTAACTTCAAATTTTTAAGACATTAACAGTTATAGTAGCCGGTCTTTTCTGAGTTGCAGTAGATTAAGAAAGATTGTTTTATTACAATAACATAATTTTGACAAGGGCCTAAAATGTTGTTTTTTTTTTCAAACGAATCTAACCTCAAATTTTTAAGATATTAACAGTTATAGTAGCCGGTCTTTTCCGAGTTGCAGCAGATTAAGAAAGATTGTTTTATTACAATAATTTCCTATCGTATAAATATTCCACTGTCGAATCTGTGTTGAACTTTCTGGTAACATTTTGACAAGGGCCTAGAATATTGTTTTTTTTTTTTTTTTAAACGAATCTAACCTCAAATTTTTAAGATATTAACAGTTATAGTAGCCAGTCTTTTCTGAGTTGCAGTAGATTAAAAAAGATTCTTTATTAGAATAATTTCTTGTAGTATAAACAATCGACTCTTTTCTTAATTTCTTGACAAAGCCTAGAACGTTTTTTTTTTTTAAACTTCAATTTTTTCAAACAAACCTAACCTCAAATTTTTAAGAGATTAACAGTTGCATCTACCGTTCTTTTCGAATTGCATTAAATTACGAAAGATTTTTCATCGCAATAATTTCTTGTCGTATAAATCGAATGGAAAATGTCGAATAGAAAAAAAAAAAAAAAAAAAAAGTAGAAGAAGCTCGTCTCGATGGCTAAAGTGTACTTATGTATTTTTGCTCACTCCGATAGATAGATGCCGTATATATCCGTCGCTCGTAATGAAAGGGTTAAACGAGGTGCTTTTCCTTCATTGCTTCGCGTCTGCTCCCTCAAACTTTCACGACGAGTTCAACAAAGAAGAAACCGCGATACGTACGAACGTGAAAACACCGGGTAACGAAGTTTCGATCTTGTCCTAGTGCCTGGAAAGAGGCAGCCGTTACGAGAAAGCGATCGACAGCCGTTTGAAAGAACTTCGCTTGGCACAGCGGATCACCTCCGACAACGTCAGCCCGTGGAACTCGAAGGCGAAAACGAAGAAGAAGAGGAGAGAGAAGCAGTTGAACGCGGATAAGGAAAATGTGGAGAGCCAGAAGAAGTCCAGAGCCTCGAGACCGAGATGGAAGAACTCGATCAAGATGGCCTTCCCCGAACTTCAGAAAGCGCAGACGGAGTATTTCGAGAGAGTGGAACAGGTTGCACACACCTTGCTCTTAACTTTAATCACGCGTGAGAGAATGAGCACGTATCTCTGTCGAAATAGATATCGGCGCAGTATACTGATCTCGACGAGAGCGACGTGCAGGC